GTAGTGTGCAGCTTGCTGAAATCTTTTTTTTTTTTTTCATGAAATCGATCAAGAATTCTTAAGAGCTAAATCAACCTTATTATACTTGCTAAATACCTTCCCTTAATGTTCATTAAAAAGCCCTAATAAATACATTTCTACAACTTGTAATCTGCCTCTTAGTATTTACAGCAATCTCATGATCAGCATTTTTAAGCATTGAAGACAGGTAAACAGATCAAAACCTGGGGCAATCCTACAGGTTTCACTGAAACAACAAAACATTCGATCAATGTGACACCTCCGCCCTTTGAAAACCCTTTCCGCACTGTTTCCATTTGAGAATTACGCTGCAAAAGGCAGAAGGCAACAAACAAATAATGAATCGGTGGAGACGGACCAAATCAGTGTTGTATCAGCAGGGGTTTTCTATCCTAATGCTGTCAGTTTGTCAGTAACATCTTCAATAAAATTTAGGTCTATCATTTTAGATGCTATCTTCTGAGCAACTTTCATTCACACACAAGGGGAAAAACCAGTGGTAGAGCAACTTTCAAAGGACCTTCCTGACACAGAAGATAACAGGAAACTGTGAATGCCCCGCTCTACTGGAAATCCCAAAGGAAGCTGGTGTATCAGTGATGAAGTAACACCTGCCAATTTAGCACATGGAGAGACCCTTTCTCTCTCCCGTCATGGTTACTCTGCTTTGGAGTGACTGTGGAGTGTTAGGAAAAGCAACTTGAGCTCCACCTTAAGGATTTGACTAAGTGTACGTTTCAAAGGAAGATGTAGGACTATTTTCAAGCCACAAGTCAAGCAACAGTACTACCTATACATGTATTACTTCAATTACTAATATCCTGTAAAAGGCTGACTTTCATTTTCCATCTGAGAATGCACAAATTCACTACAGACTTGACATTCTCATCCTTCCTTTATAAGGAAAGATGCCTCTCTTCTGCCAAGTGAAGAAAATATTTGTTACAAAATTATTACAGGCCATACCAAAGTCTGCAAGCTTCAGTTCTCCTTTCTCATTAATTAGTAGATTTTGTGGCTTCAGATCTCGATGTAATACCTTTCTCCTATGACAGTATGCCAAACCACGAAGAATCTGGTATAAAAATAGCTACAAAAGAGAACATTTATATAAATTAGACTGAAAATGTTAATCTACACATTACATGACTAAAATAGCGCATCTGGGCACTGTAGAGTTGAGTCTCTGTATTGTAAGCAGGACAAAAATACTTCTCAAAAAGTTACTTTTCCATATAAACACATTCTGAACATCTTCGTTATTGTTTACAGATTTAAAATCCCTTTATGCTAATGCACTGCTTTAACACGATACTTTACAACAAAGATTTTAAGAGCAATTTGTTCTGCTTAACTGAAGAGAACCACAGGGCTGTTTATTTTTAAGTAAGCATTTACCAATGCTCTTCCCCACACTAACGTCTTTAAAGGTAACTGTCTCTGACTGTACTCAAGTTCCCTTCTGCCACAGAATCCCTTCTGAAAATGCAGCTCAGCATCCTTTCTATCTAATTATGCTAAACTATTGGAAAAATACACTCGGATTCACAAGCTCACGAAACATGCAGAAATGGGGAAATGAGGATTACTAAAAGAGCCCATCCGCCTCTGGCATTTATATTCACCCCCTCACCTTGACACACACAGGTTTATTTTAGTCTTTTGGAACAGTGAGCCAAGCAAGCAACTTCAGTCATGCATATTAATGCTGCACATATATAGACACAGAAGTAGTAAGGAACGAAGAAAGGTTTAGCAGAGGGCAGCCAAGCAAGTTTACTGTATCACTGCACTAAGAACTACTATTTTTGTTTCTGTATGTATAAAGGGTCTGATCTTAAACATGGGACTTCTGGGTAGCCATTGCTGGCATTTACCACAAAACAGTCCTCAGCCTGTATAGAAGATCAAATGTACAATGAAAAAATATAGAGCATAATAGAAAGTAATGTTTACCAATGTGACAAATTCAGCATGTAATAGGACTTTTGAGGAGAAACACTAGAATGTTTTTATATGACCATTTTCTAACACATCAGTTTATTTTCGTACCAGGTGACACCACCAAATTCTTTTTCCTAAACTGGAAAAATACACAGCAGGTGTAGTTTACATCCATCTGTTCTTAGTCTGCTTACGTGGGATTTATCTGTTCTAGAAAAAAAGGAATTCGGATCATTTTTTTTCTTTCTTTCTTTTCTTTTTCGAAGAGCAGAATGAGAAGCGACAAGTTTTGTTTCATCTACTCAGTTCATACCAGTGCAGGGGTAGTCAGTCCCAAGTAATATCAACAGGACTGCTGTGGAAATCGATAGCCATCTCTAGCATGCACTGGGACTGTGAGGATTAGTAAAGGCGGCAAAGCAGATTATTCTACAGAAACTGTGGATCTTCACCACAGTTTTGGCATTGATCCTTTTGGCAATGCATAGGATGACATGTATTAGCTCAAAATGTTGTTTGAAACAGTAATACCTGCAGGGATCACACACATCTTTATATTATACATCTTCATTTTGTTAAAACTCAAAAAGCTAGAATTAGCTGAGGAATGTGAGGGGAATGACGACAGGGAGGTGTCTCAAATGATAACAACGACCCAAACCCCCCCAGTTATTGTAAGGTAAGCATCAACGGCTACTAGTTAAGCAGCTGTTCTGGCTTCCCAGTGCCAAAGGTACTGACCATATAAGTCTGCCTTAGGGCACAGCTTAAACCATAGGCAAACAAGGAAAAACGGTGCCTCTGCTTAGCTTGGAATACCACAAGCAGATTCTGCTTGAACTGCACTTAGTACAGGACTCAGCTTCCCACTTAGAGCTTTTCTGTTATTGTTTTTAAGCTTAAAGCACTACTTATTAACTTGTAGTTAATTAATAATTATGGTTTTTGTTGTCTCTGTGAAGTAGATACAAATTAAAGAATTTCCCGTTGCAGGCTCTCAAAGTAAACAAAAGAGTAGGTTAAGGGCAGATGTCTTTCCCTACAGATACTTACTGCAGTATGACAACAGAGTAAAAGAAAAGCTATCCAAAGAGTAACCGCTACCTCGACCGAGTCCCATATGCAATTCAACTAAGCCAAAACCAAGGATGACAACTCTACTGGAATGCACACAAACCCCATCACTTCACAGTATTTAGTACATTGCATTGTCAACCACATTTGTGCCATGTGCTACTGTATAAGAATAAAAGTAATTTTCCTACCATGTGTGCACGCTCCTGGTTTTGTTCTTTATGATCACAGCTTAAAGTTAATTTTTTTCAAGAAGAGTTTCTCAAACTCATCTACCATACAAATAACATAGCAATTATATATGGCTTAATGAAGAGGTTTTGAAGGTACAGTCCAGCACAGGCTGCAACACAGCATGGCGATACTGGTAACCCAGCCTCCTCGGACAACTTCACTCATTTCAAGATAGTATTGTCCTCTGTTGGGATCTTGTTTATAAAGCCATAAGTATTAAAGAACATAAACAGTTATTCCAGTTTTCCAAATCAAAACCTGCTTGTTATGACAGAGGTAACACCTGAACCTGAGTTAGTTTCAGCAGGCCAGACTGCAAACTGAGTCACTTAATCTGGCCACAGCCATAGTTAAAAACAACAGACAATTAAACCTTAAAGAAAGTAATTTCCATTTTATTACTAATGGAAAGATGAACATCATTCATTCTTAAATATGTATTATTAATTTTTTACTTGTGTGGTAGGCAGTGGCATCCAAACCCCACATTCATGATTGAGGCTACATTTTCCTCAGTGTGCATATATAAATTTTATTTGAGGATATACCAAACTACAGACTTAACTTAATAAATTAATATAAAATAATGGAAGCACAAGAAGAGGTCAAGAGAGTTATGAATGTATTATTTTTTAGGGAGTTTTTAATTTTAAAGATATAACTTCAAAGAGAATGAAAACATATAAAATTATATAATCTCTTGTTTTCAGTGCTTTAAACAATTAAAGGTCATCAAAACCTAAGAGAAAGACTCCATCTGTTGTCAAATGTAGTTAAACCAGGCCCAAAGGTCAAAAAGGAAGTTACATTTCTTAGGTCTGTGGGGTTTTTTTTTTCTTTTTTTTTTTTAAAAAGCCCTGAACCATGCAGCTCCTGATTAATAAGTTCTCTGAAATTCTTAGAACAGAGAAAGCTGGAAGACAGTAACTGCCACTGAAAACACTCACCTTTACATTGTGCATACTCATGATGTTACCACAGTCATCCATGTACTGCTTCAGATCCTTGTCCTATCAAAACACCATCATCATTGTTCAGTAAAATTGTGGACAACAGATTACGTGAATATTATTTATTGTTAGAACTGAAATAATTCATCAGAAAACTGAGTTTTCTGCAAAAGATGTTCAATGATAAAAAACCTAAAAGCCTGAACATGCAGAAAACTCTGGCTTTCCAGAGGATATAAATATCCGTTTTCCAGCAAGCTGCATCATCTCAGACATTATTGCCTTCTCCTCCATCTCATGTGCCCCACAGTATTTTATGAAATTGCTACATTCTCCGATCACATTGGAAGTGTTTTTCTTTATCCCTCTTATTATGCTTATATATTCCAGCATATTATACAAAAAATATCAATATGTAAAGCTTCAGTGGGAAAGTGAAAAGTCTACAATGGAAGAGGTGAGCAAGTGAGATATGTAATTGTGGACACTTGCTTGAAAAGATTGTTACAAGAAGATGGAATGTGTTGTTTACTTCGACGTATACTTTTTTCCTTAGCTAACTTGTGAGAGTTGCATCACAACAGAAAAATACCATTTGAATAGCATGTGATTATCCTTTTTTACAGTTAATGATTTTGGTACAAGTAGACACTTTGCTCAGGCAGATCACCACTAACTGCTATTAATGAAACTCTGAAAGTTTCTGATTTTTAAAAAAGAGGACAGAATTTTGTTATGTCTGTGTTACTTAGAAACAATAAATCGAATGTAAAGGTCATTAGCTGTTCAAGCACTTACCAGATATTCGAAAACAAGAGTCAAAGACTTGTCTGTGTGCACAATATCATGTAATGTAACAATATTTGCATGCTTCAGATCTTTTAATAATGACACTGCAAAGGAGAATTTTAAGTATAAAATAAATAAATGCAAAACACATGAACAGTAAATGCATTTCTAGCAAGTTCACACAGATAAGCTCTTTATTTTTTAAATGAAAAAGCCACTTTTAAGTAGTCATATAGATTAAGTTAATAAGAAAGGTATTTAATCAAACACCAAACAGACATTTGAGTAACAAACTGTAAACATTTCCTAAATTACACGTTTCAGGCAGAAGTAGCCATTTGGTCAAATGTATTCTGAATCCCTGAAAGTTACTCACTAATAACAGTCTAATTCAGTATAAAATCATCCATTTGTAACACTGCATTTGAGAATACAACCACCCCCCATCAAGTAAATAAATCTGAAACACTTACTCTTAACATGTCTAGACTACAATTTTCCCCATCAAAACTAATACCAATTTCATTAATCTCCCCTGTAGCCTATGTATTTCCAAGTACCAACAGTACTTTCATCAAAAAGAAATCCAGAAGTATCTGAAACTCTAAGTAGTAAAAAAAAAAAAAATCATTATCACCTTCTCTTATGGCTGTGCACGGTGCTCCCTCTTCATGTTCCAGGCGGATTTCTTTCAGAGCTACCAGGTTCTCTGTCAATTTACTTCTCCCCTTATAAACTGTTGCATAAGTACCCTACAAAATGGAAAAAGAGGGAAACTCTTACAAATTGTTCCTTCACTGAAAGATAAGTTAAAAAAGAAAATATAGACTTCTATCTGAGGTTCTAATAGGTTTCATTTTGTATATGAATAGTTTTTACATTGTCTTCTTTTGATACATGTGAAACTACAAAAATATTTGGTAAGCACAGGTCTGAACACACAGAATACAACAAGGGATGTATATGCTTAACAACTCTGAAAACTACATGGAAGGCTACACACCATATAGCTACCAAAGAAGACAGATCAGGTAGTGTTAAGTTCACGAAGTTCACTGCTGGGATCATTTACCCTCTTGAAAGTCTCTATTTCATTAAAACTAGCTCAGGTATCTCTACACTACACTGCAGTTGTTTCCAAAGGCTGCAGATATACTTTTCCATTACTTTTATGAAAATATTTAACTCCTTTTGATAGCTTCTTGTCTTTGTTACGTATTTTACAGGATAATTTTTTTTGGGGTGGGGTCAAAGTTTCATTTTGGTTGACATAATGAACAGTGAATATTATGAAGCTTATCTTTCTCTTTTTTTTTTTTTGCTTAGACAATAAGAGATTGAAAACTCTCAAGGCATGTTACGTAAGGACAAGAAATTCTGATAAAACAGCAAGTAGGTACAACTAATCCCAGCAATTGCAAAGAGGAAGCAACAAAGTTACAGAAATTGCCCTAGGTTACGGTACATATCTGGTGTCCTCCACTACACTTTGTGAGCAAGTGAAATAATGTACACCTACAACTATGACTTGATAGCTACTAGCTTAACATCCCTCCAAAGATACGCAATGTTATCTCATGTCTGGTGACCCATCTAACAAGTACTAGAGGCAAAATAAAAGATAAATGCGTTTGGAAATGGAAACGTCGCAAATGGAGGACTAGCTGCAATATTCACAGCAGAGATACTGACCAGCCCTGTGTCCTGTGATGTGCAGCGCATCCCATTCCAGTGCTCCTTGTCCATTTTTGATCCTGTTGGCCAACCTCAACCAAACTGGACAGGACTGACACCTGGCCCCTCCTGAATTCTACCATTTCTCTACAAGTCAGAGGCTGAGTGGAGGTCGAAAGCTGTATTGCTGCCCTCCCACAGGGAAAGGCAAACTCGGTGTTACATACTTCCCTTGGCAGCATCCAGCTGGTTGCCCAGCTCAGGCGTGCAGGCTTCTCGACCGGAACATGCATAGCTACTGCCTGCTCCCTGCAAGCGCTGGCTTCTTGTCCAGTGTGAGTGCTCCCTAACACTTAACTCACAGCAGGAAGATGCCAGACTTAACTAGTTTTATTACCGACAGAATAATTTTGTCTATCTGCACGCAAAGCCAGCCTACATAAGGAGGTCACGGATCATTTGCTAATGGAGTCTTGCTTTTCCCCAGTGCAGTGGTGGTTTTCCAGCTTTTTTTTTTTTTTTTTGCTTATTAGATATGTATAGAATATTTGTGTGCTTATGACATTGCTACAAATGATGTGTATGTTTGGCTTATGAAAAGATAAATTCAATGGGTATTTTGAGGGAAATCGAGATTTTCAGTTAACACCTATGTAAAATTTTACATAAGACATTGCCATCAAAGCAGTAATCATTTCAAAAGAAAGCTATACATACCTCTCCAAGCTTTTCTAACTTGATATAGGTTTCCATTTTTCCAAATCCAATTTCTGACTGCAATGAAAAGAAACAGAAAATCAATCACTAAAACTGAACACTTTATTTATACATCATTTAATCAGCAAGCTAAACTTTGTTTCAGAAAAATACCTGATAGTACTTGACCAAACACTGCACAGTTCTGCTATTTTAAAAACAATTCAGCACATTATGATATAAATGCGTCCCAGCATCCAAGCCCAATGCTCAACTTTTTGGCCAGTCTACTGTGTGTCCTGGAAGGACTATGTACTGAGTTACACTTAGACTGAAAGCCCACATTACCCTACCTCCTACTTAAGTCTTCTCCACTCTTCTCATCTGATTACTACTAATGAGGGTGTTATAGCTGAAAACACAGAAGTCATCTCAAACTATCCCATCCTTTCTCTTGCTTACCATCCCCACCTGCTGCTTCTTTCAAAGTAACTTGCATTACTTACTTGTTCTCTACTAATATATATAACACGCTCAAGATCTCAGCTCCAGCCTTCCTCTCCCATTCTGACCTCTCAATGCCCTTCAGTCTAAAACTCTGCCAGTAAAATCCCCAAACATCATTCTTCCACAAGCTTCAGCTCTGTCTCAACAATTTATGTTTCATGGCTCAGAACTTCAAGCCTTTGTGTATTTTACTTGCATCTATTCACCTTCCCTTTTTTTGTCACCAACTTAGCTCTGCAATGCAAGCCAGGAGGGTTTGCCTGCCTATATAATACGTTTTTCTGAAGACTCTTTACTCTTTTCCTGTTCAAATCCACCGCTGCTCTTGTATTTAATATGATTATCTCTTACAGTTATTTTCATGTAAGACCATTGTCAGTTACACCAAAGCTTTATATTGTTCTTACAGTGTAAAGAATGCTGAAATTAGACATGTAAAACACATTTTTAAACCAATTTACAAAGTGCATATAGCCTGTACATTGTCAAAACCCAAACCCCATAAGTTTCATGGGGTTTTGCTTTACTGACAATTGAACATACGCTAAGACAAAAATGCCAGGTTTTCTCCCTAGCATCATCTCCTCCTTCCACTTCAAAACATAGCTGTCCACAAGTCTGAATGTGTTCATTTGCTCCTAAAATCTGATGGATATTGAAGTTGCATATTATTTCATGGTAACACAGTGTAACATAAATACTGCTGACTGTATTAAGATTTGACAACAATATAGTATGAAGATATACTAAGAAAAGTTGGATTAATACTTAATTTTCATAACACATGCATGAAAATACAGCTGAAGTAACTGTGAGATCTTGTCTGTAAACATATTTGACATCTAAGAGAAAGAATGGGCACATAATTATGTTAACATAGTATTAAGAGTAATTCTGCTTTATTAAATTAGTGTTAGAATTGAAATGTTTTAAAACTGCATAAGGATACTTTAGCATCAAGCATATTTAGGAGTTTGTTGAAGCCAAGCTGCTTATCCTAAAATACAAAAGCAAAGTTGGTATTTGACAACTATGTAATACCAGTGAGATTTTAAACATACCACTGATACAGGTACAATGTTAGCAGAATAAATATTATGTTTCCAAAGTGCATTTTGACCTACTTAAACAAACATATCTTGAAATGACTATTAGATGGTGTTAGAATTAAAAAGATAGGCTGCTTAGTTTACAGGAGAAACTAAAGGAGAACTCATAGCCATTGGCCTTGTTATTGCCACAGTCTGAAATACAACTTTAAAGTTGGATTTCTAAGAGACCTTGACGTTGTTTATCAAGACTAACAAACTCAAAATCTTTTTCAGACAATAAAATCATACAGTATTTCCTACATACAGAGGACAGATATCCTTCAAGACCTCCCTTTCAGTATGTTTAATTTTTAATCACATTTTGGTTGCCTGCCACTCATAAGAAAAACTGATTTTTCGATTCCTCAAACTAAGATAAATTTCCTTTTTCCTTCAAAATAATTTCTGAACTATTTAATTTTTTTCTGCAGTACACATCTGTCTATCTTGACTTAACACAGAAACACTGATGCACTGTATTTATGGTCTCTTACTTCTACTGGCTGGTGCATAAGAGTTACACCTATGCTACTGCGCATGCATGTACATGTACACACAAAATACAATTACCATAAAAGCTGATTTTTTTTTGATCATTTCAAAGAAATACACCAGACCTAAAGTATAACAAGTCCTTACTTGATACTTTTTATAGCTCTTTTCCTTTGATTCCTACTAAGCCTTGAAAAGAGACATGCCTTTGAAGCAGAGCACAATATTCATATATTGTAATTAACAGTCTGCTAGCAAGCTTTCAATGACAATCTCGGAATAATGAGTCCTTGAATTTCTTTTTTTTTTAAAGGTTAGTCTGAAATCATGAGAGGACAATGCAACAAATGCATGCCTGCATACCACAGCACTGCTGGCAGGTTTCATTTTGGACTTTTAAGCCCTGAAAGTGTTTTTAAAGGACAAAACAACCTTGTGACAGGAAGCTGATTCCATACACACACCATATTCATTAGAGGGCACTGTTTTTCTGTCTGTCTTCTAGAAGGTAAAGAAGAAAGGACAACTGCTCTCAGGGATCACCATTAAATGAGCAAGGGGATTTAGATACACAGGACCCGCCACCCCGCCCCAAGCCCCCAAATACTATATTCCAACAGCGAAAAGGTTCTATTGAAAAGGTACTTCACCAGCACCTGAAAAGAGAAGGTTTGGGGAAGTCTGTTCCTCAGTTCAATGCTACATCAGCAACTAAGTGGTTAATGAGCTACAAAGTTCTGGCACAAGTATTTAAGCTTGCTACATTATTATTACTTCCAGTGCTTTGATCCAATCTTTTCTTCTTTTAATACTGTTCTTGTAAAAGGTGATGTGCAGATCAGAGCTTCAGCCTAGCACACTAAATAGTACTTTTTCAGGGGAAAAATACATGATAAAACTCAACCGTTGCTTTGTTATAGACATTATTAATTCACAAAGAATAAAATAAAGATATTTCAGTTAATAAAACTATTTGCTATATGTACTTTCGTATTTATTTTTCAGCAAATAAGCCATTAAATCAAGAAAACAAAGAACAATGTGATTTCATAAACCTATACAGTTCTTCTCTGCAAAGAATTTCTCACCAATGAATTTGCTCAGGAAGTCAGTAATGGTCTCACAATTCTTTAAGACCTCGATTAAGAAAACCGATAGATCAAATTATGATTGAAATGTAACAGTTTTTTGTAAAAATAAGAAAAAAAATTTTTGGACTATTTCACAGATGTGCATATTTTATGTGAGTGTCTGGGATTTCTAGCATTTATACTCTAATTACAGTACAGGAACCCTCATTCCGCCATCTCCAAGGAAAGACTTATTTTTTAAGATAACCCAATGATCTAAAAAGGTATATGTGAATTTATTCATCCATATTCTTAGGAGTCCACTTACGCTTTTTTTTAAAAAATAAAATAATAAAAACCTATCATCTTAACAGCAATTTTGAGAAAGAAAATTTATCAAATACAAAAAGAACAGTGAGGAGGACCTGCTTTCGTATTATTCATATGCTGCTTTAGGACCTTCCTACTATATCACATGAGAGCCCCAGCCTTGACCTAAGATTACGTGTCCTATTTGCTCAAACAGATCATCCCTGCTCTAAAGAGCAAAAGGATTTAAGTATGCACTTTGGGAGTTGAGTTTAGCCACCGATTTTAATGGGTCAACACCTTCACTGAGAAATGACAGGGCCAAGTTTGCAAAAGAAAAATGAAAGAAAGGGTGAAATTCTTCAATGGATTTTGACAGGTGCATACTGAAGTTCAGGACATAAAAGTCAAGGTGTAAACGAAGTTGAATCATACCTATGGCAATACAGATATCTGCATTAGATGGAATCTGAAGAACTGAGAGGTTGGTTTAGCATGGCAGATGCATTACACTTACTAGTGATGCTCTACGAGAACGTCGACTCATTGGCTGATCAAATGGCGGGCTGTTAATCTGCAACTTTTCAAGATAGCCATCAGGTATCCTGATGTCAGCAGGCAGGGACAAACGCTTGTTCAAATCCTGCAGTAAATAATGTTAAAAAGAGAAGGGTCAAGTATAATTCAGAATTTCCTGAAAAAAATCTTTTAACGCCTGTAGTGTTACTGTTACTACAGTGTTGCTATTTAAAACTGAAATATTTATACAAATGAAAAATCAGTAATTTCACAGAAATTGTTTTTAAAAACTTTCTCTTCTAATAATACTTCAAATTGCTTAGATAACAGGTTCAAAAATTCAGTGCTTCATAATCTCATTACTTTAACAAGAAGAATATTAAAATGTAATTAATTACATTGTGGATAAATGTACCGAGTTTACATGACTACTTATGCATACCTGGAATACCAGAAACTGAGAATTCAGAAGTTGGTAAATACATTTATTTTCATATAATAATTACATTAGAACAACAAGATACCTCCATGATTCAAAATATCTCTCTCCTTTTCTCTGACTACTAAAGTTATAAATTTGCTTCAACTTCCATTCTTCCAGTCTTACAAAACAGAATCACTTCATTATTGAGCCAAACCATTGGAAATGTTAAAACATTTTTCTATTTCAAGCTCTTTAGTATATGGTCTTTAGAAAACCAAACTGCCA